TTTCCAGCTTAACTGCTCTAATTTTAACAATCTTGGCCTGGTTTCTCTGAAGGCAGATCCAGCAGCAGTCAGGCCAGATCTACATTTCCTCTTCCCCAAACTCTCCCTGGAAAAGCAAAAAAAAATTGGCATGTGCACAGAGCACAATATTATCCCAACAGGGTCAGGCCATGACTTTTTTACTTCTTCCACTAGATAGTGAAGGCCAGAAAGAATGACCTGTCTCTCCAACCCCATCCCCATTTTATCGTGAGGCAGGAAAACGCTGCCTCTTCCACAAAGACTTCCACTCACACCAGGCTTCTTCCTAGCAGGAAATACTGGAGCAGCTTAAAAGATATTAAATAAAAATGGGTTTATTTAAACAAGTGAAGTAGCTCTGCTCTGGAGACAGGCTGAGAGAGTTGGGGATTTTCAGTCTGAAGAAGAGGAGGCTCCAAAGAGACCTTAGAGCACCTTCCAGTGCCTGAAGGGGCTCCAGGAAAGCCAGGGGGGCACCTGGGGCAAGGGCAGGGATGGATGGGATGAGGGGGAAGGGTTTTAACCGAAAGAGGGAAGACTGAGATTAGATATTAGGAAGAAATTCTTTGTTGTGAGGGTGGTGAGACCCTGGCCCAGGTTGCCCAGGGAAGCTGTGGCTGCCCCATCCCTGGCAGTGTTGAAGGGCAGGTTGGATGGGGCTTGGAGCAGCCTGGGCTGGTGGGAGGTGTCCCTGCCCATGTAGGAAGTGGGACTGAATGGGCTTTAAGGTCCCTTCCAAGCTGAATCATTTGGTGACTCTATGATAACCAGCTGAAAGGCATACAAAGAGAAATGCAGCTCAGCACCACCTCATACACCCTGGCTCCTGCTCATCCCACCAGGCAAGCAATGGGCCAGCCCAGGGGTTCACCCTGTGACTCTTGTTGCCCCTTCCCCTTGCCCCCTGCTAACCTGTTCGTGTGAGTGCAGATCAGAACCCGTGCTTTGGGCTGCCTGAGGATCTCTCTGGTGGCCATGGCCAAGGTGAATGTCTTTCCTGTGCCAAAAGGCCCGTAGATGAGAAGAGGTGGGACCTGCCGACTGGTAGTTGCCTGGCCTGTGATGAAGGAGATGGCTAGTTTCTGCTTGCTATTCCCTTCTTGTGGTGACCCATGAGAGTAGGGGACAGAGCAACTGGCAACATCTGGTAGGACCAGCTTCTCATCCAACAGGCGGTCCACAGCCTGGTGCCACTGCCGGAACAGCAGTTGGTCGATTTGGAACTGGATCTCCACCTTGTGGAAGGTGTTTGCCTGGAAGTTCAGCTCCGAGCAGCATCTCTTTGGTATCTGTAACCAGATGGTCTTCTCCGTGGTGGCTTTATGCTCCACAGTAACCTCATAAACTCGATTGTCTTCAGGTGGGTCAAGTGCCAGCAAGGCAGTGGGCACAGACCTGCTCAGCAGATACCCCTCGTCTGTGTCTGGCGAGAGGTTGTAAGGGGTAGGCACTTCAGCAAAGAGCTCGCCAGAGACGGAACACTTCATCCCCATGGAGAGGCTTTGCAGCATGGGGGTCAGGGAGATGAGGACCCGCAGGTTGAGTCTGAAAGGAGGAAACACCCGAATGAATAGCAGGGAACTGGCCCATCAGCAGCAACTGCCCTCCCTGCTGCAGAGCTGGGATTGTCACCCACACCCAGAGCACAATGAGGCAGGAGTCATGCTTCTTGCTGACCCATGGCCTCAGGACAAGACCCAGCCCATCCCCTCTTGTCACTGCCCAGCGAGCCAGCTTTCTCAGCAGGTTTCCAGTTGTCTGGGAGGGTTCCCCAGGACCCAACGCTGAAGAGATGGAATTCAGTAGCAGCATGGCCCCAAAGTGTTAGCAAGAGGCCCGTGGTCCACAGTGAGAAGGAACCCCTCTGGATCCACACTTGGCACTTACTTGGCAACCAGAGCCTGTTCAGCTTCTTCCTCACGGAAGAGGAAGCTGTGCATCCTCTCACGGTAGTTGAGGCGGGTGATGGGAACAGGCACCCCGCGCTCCTGCTGGTAGTCCAGTGCGAGGGCAGGAGGCTTGTACTTGGCCAGCAGATCCATGTCTTCACTGGTCCTCGGCACACTGGGAATGATGAACCGGTTCCCTCTATCCCATCGGACGAAGTCGACGGGGCGGCTGCTCTCCCTGCTGCCGGGGACGTGCCGGGGGGTCTCCCGCCGACCCACCTTCACCTTGATCTTCTGCCTGAGGACAGGGCGCCTGCCGAAGTCGAAGACCACCCACTGCTCAAAGACCCCCAGGGCACAGCACTCCATGCAGACCTCCACCAGCGTGGTGGGCGGGGAGGAAGGCAGGGTGGCCACCTGCTCCCCACGGAGGTAGTGCAGGTCCTTGGAACGTCCCTTCCCCAACAGGTAGAAGGTGACTCCCGGTTGCCGCTTCAGTAGTGCCACGTGCTGTAAGGGCATCTGCCGGTCAAGGAAAAGACAAGGACCTGGTGAGGGCAGCCCAGGAGAAGAGTCCAGTGCCTGATGAGCTGCCCCCAGCAGTGTTTGCTACCAAAAGCTGCTGCAGGGCCCCAGTGCTGTGCCGGACATACAGCACACTTGAAATTCTGCTTTAAAGGAGTTTATTCCTCGTGCAAACTCACAGCAGTTATTCTAAGGCCTTAAAGAACCTCAAGTTTCAGTGTCACATCAATGGAGCCAGTCTGCTGTGAGCAGGAAATCTCCTGCCCTGGGGAGAACAATTAGATGCAGGCTCTTGCCCCCAACACCTGTGAAATCCTGGGCAGAAAAGCACCCAAATCTTGCTATCTGTGATGACACGTGGGAGGTGCCAAGAGCCACCAGGTCTGCCCCAGCCCCACTGCACCAGATGAGACAGGAGACACGGTGGCTGCACCCCCAGACAGCACCACCTGAGCTGTTCCCAAATACCCACCACACGTCCTCATTTGGACATCCCCAAATCCCTGCCCTTCTGCACCTTGCAGAAATAATCATTAAAAAAACCCAAAACAAACAAGGCAAAAAACCCAAAGGACAAGGACTGTGCCAGCAGCTCACAGGCTCCCACGACACAGGGCTAGGCTTACCTGGGAGAAGATCCTGAACTTCCACTGGTACTTCATCCCTCTGTCCTCTGACTGCACGTCCAGGGGCTGCTCACACACGACTCGGACACCCTCGATGTGCTCAGCCATCTGCAGGGTGTGGAGAGGAGCAGGACTGTGGGCACCATCCCAGGGACACAGCACAGAGCTGTTCACCCTTTGCTTTTGTGCCATGGCTTCCCAAGAGGGACCCTCAGCAAATCCTCAGGCTCAGACATCACCCACCACTGCTCAGCATCCCTGGGAAAGACCAGGACCCACCCACGGCACAGCAGCACAGGCGGGTGCCCTGGGCAGGCTCTGAGGTTGCTGCCTTGAAAGAATCATAGACTCACAGACTGCTTTGGCTGCAAAAGGACCTTCAAGATCATCCAGTTCCAACTCCGCCTGCATGGGCAGGGACACCTCCCACTAGACCAGGTTGCTCCAAGGCCCATCCAACCTGACACTTCCAGGGACAGGGCAACCACAGCAACCTGTTCCAGTGTCTCACCACCCTCACAGCAAAGAATTTCTTCCTAGTATCTAATCTCAATCTCCCCTCTTTCAGTTTAAACCCTTCCCCCTCATCCTATCCCTCCCTGCCCTTTGTCCAAAGTCCCTCCCCAGCTTTCCTGGAGCCCCTTCAGGCACGGGAAGGTGCTCTAAGGTCTCTTTGGAGCCTTCTCTTCTCCAGGCTGAACACCCCAAATCTCTCAGCCTGTCCCCATGAGAAGAAGTGCTCCAGCCCTCAGATCACCTTTGTGATCTCCTCCAGACTTGCTCCACCAGCATATCTACCCATATCTTTCTTGTGTTGGGGGCCCCTGGAATGGTGACAGTGCTCCAGGTGAAAGAAGTGGGGATGCATCCCTTTCTGCATCACTGTGAGAATGGGGAGCCAACGGGCTCCGTTCTGAAGCTCCCTCACAGGATTCTCCCACCCTGCTGCCCACCACTCACAATCAACACCTCGTTGGAGCATGTCTGGTACTCAGCAATGAGCCGATCCTGGTAGGACAAGAGTCCTTCCTTCAGCGCTTGCTTCCTTTTCCTTGCAGCCACCTTCACCCTCTGGATCCACTCCTGCAGCTCCTCAGGTGAGTGAGCCTGGGTGCAGCTCTTCCCCATTTCACACACCTCCGCTCTGTCGGGAGAAAAGTGTCACAGGTACCAGGCAGGCTGGGCAGCACGGGGGTCCCCAGGGAGCTGCCTGCCAGCCCTGCCCTCCTCTAGAGGCGGCTCCTCACCTGCTGCACAGCGAGAACCGGGTCATGCCGAGCGGCGGGGCGCGGTGGGACCACTGGATGGAGGTATCGACCGAGAGCATCTGCAGGTGCTCCACGGAGGAGCAGTGGCTCTCGAAGCTCTCCTGCGAGCTGAAGGTCACCAGGCAGAGCCGGCAGTAGAAGTGCACGGGCGCCGCTGTCTTGCCGTTGGCGCTGCTGGTG